TAATTTGGGGCTCTGGGGTTTCCAGGGCTTTACTTGGAAAAATGGATGCATCCAAAGGAGCAAAGATGGTGTCAAGGGACCATTTTATGAGATGGTTCCCATGTCCACCAGCTCTTCTGAGAGCCATGAGCAGCCATTGTTCCCCACTCATGTGCCTTTACATGTTCACACTCACCTAACATGCAGATTAGCTCTGACAGGGACCAACAAAATCAGGAATCAGTCCCCACACCAGCCACGTCCTCTTCCATCTCCCTTTTTGGGAACAGTGTTCTGCCAAGATAGGAAGCTCCCTCACCCCATTTTCCAAGCAGCCCCCTTGGCCAGGCAGTCAGAAATAAAAGTTGTCACACACATCTTGGTTTCTTTTCATACTTTGTAAATTTTTTTTAATTTTTTATTATTATCTCCTCCTTTTAAGCATCCCTTTAAGGGTGAAATGAAATCCAACCATTTACAGAGAAAATGATTTCAGAATGTACATTTGATTTATCCTTACAAAAAGTTCATTATTACTTGCTGTTTATAAATTACAGAGTTGAAAGGAGCTTTGCAGATGCTCTTATTTTTTTCTTTTCTTTTTAGTTTTTGGCAAGTCCACGCATTCTTTTTCCAAAGCAGGGTGTCCTGGAGCCCCTCCAGGAGCAACACCAGCAGTAGGTCCAGATGGACCCCAGGCTCAGAAGTGCTGCTGGACCACCTCCAGGATGATACTGCATCATCATCCGCACAGGCAGGAAAAAACAGCTGTTTGAATTCTTAGAGTATTTCAGATCCCTTCTTAATCCATTACCTGTAGTGCCCAAAGCTTTGAAACATCAGTGTATTGCATTAGAAACAGTTCTTCTTTCTCAATGCTGGATCTGAGCCCCTCCTGCCACTCCCTTACCCTCCTGCTCCCCTTCCCTTCCTGTAACAGGAGTTTTTCCAATGTCTCAGAAATCAGGGGATTAGGGTGGGTAGGGAGAACACAATGATGGAGGGATACAGGATCCATTCTCCCACTCACTTCCCTCCTTTCTCACCAAGGTTAGAGGTCAGTGAAGCCAGGACGAGCCGTCCCTTCCCTCTCCACCACCAGTGTTCACCCATGGAACCAGGAGTGACCCTGGACAGCATCTTCACAGTGCAGAGGCATAGCAGCCGCAGAGATTGCCAGCAGGAGCTGGGACACAGGGACACAGCCCCAGGGACACTGAGGAGGGGAAGAGACACCCTCCCACAAGGAAACAGCAAGGCAGGCAGAGGGGAATGAACACCCAATTCTGCTCTGACACTCTCCCTCCATGCCAGCTGGGTTTCCTTGTTCACCTGTCACAGAGACACAGAGTAGGTTGGCCTGGGCAGCACAAGCACAACACCTCAGCAGGACACAGGGATCAGAGAAAGCAACAGCAAGAGTGTTTTTGAGCATGTCATCCTCCATACCAACCACAGGCACAAAGTCACCGTGTCTTTTCTGTCACTTGGGTGTGGCATTACCCCCAGATGGGCAAATAGGTCTAACCTGCCCTACTCCCTCTGCTTCAGCAAGCTCAGCTGCTGCAGGTGCACCAAAGCCCACATCCTTCCTTTCCCTTGGGGCAAAAGAGGAAGAGGCACTCTCCAGTCCAAAGCCATGCATAGGCACACAGTCTCTTCCTAGGTGGGAAGCACCAAGACAGACAGAAAGAAGTGCAAGGCTTGAGTGTGCCACACACTGCTTCACCTATTTCCTGGCCCCACTGTTTACCAATTTGAAGGTAAAAAAGGCTTTGGGAATGAAAAAGCACAAGGCTGAAGAGGGCTGCAGGAAAAGGCTGGTGATGTATTCCCTCCATCCACTGGACAGTTTGGTCCAAGAGAGGCAGCAGGATTCACTGCCCACTGCCCCCATGGGCTGCAACGACCCCCAGACATCAGGCTCGGGTAGTCTGATCCCAGCTCCACTCAGTGCCAGGACAAGGTTCTTGGTCTTTCCCTTCTCAAATCTCAGAACCTGCTTCAGATAAAATGAAGGAGCTTCAGTGCTCACCTCAGAGTCCAGCACTGGGAAACAAGGATCTGACACAAACCTGCCCCCTGCTTTGCCTCTCACTACCTCACACACACACTTACTTTTGACTTCCCTCTTGTGGCAGCTGTCTGGAGGGGTGGCTGTCCCACCTGGAGCTGGCTGCAGAGGTCCCAGCAGGCAGCACAGGCAAGGCTGAGCAGAGGGCAAGCCACCACCTTGGAAAATCACTGTGTGAAAGCCAGCTTAGTAGTGTCTGTTCCCTCCAGGGACAGGAAGGAAGATTTTTAATGACAAGCACTCTAGCTCCCTAAGGATAATAAACACAGAGTTAGCCAGACAAATTAGACAAACATTGACTGGTTTGGCCTTAAATCAAAAAATGCTTAAACAATTCTTGAGAAAGAGAAACAATAAAGAATGCATTTCATCTGTAAAGCCCCTTCCTCCCACTACAACAGAAGTCTGGTTTCAATTTAATTTCCTAAGAATAAGGAAGTGAGTAAGTCCAGGAGACAGGCAGGGCAGGAGTTCTGCTCAAGAGCCCCAGCATTCCTTTTCCAGCAATACCTTCTTCTCCAGCCCAAGGGAGCAGAAGGGAGAGACAAATCAGAGAGAGAAGAGGAGAATGATGGAGCAAATAATGGAGGAGGGAAAGCAACAGGCTGTAATTCAGGAATGGGAGAAGCAGATACTGCAGCTGTGGGCTTACTAAACTCCCAAGAGACAAAGGCCACACCTCAACACTGAAAACATGACTGCTGTGCACTAAAAATTCCCAAGGATGGCCATGGATGGGAAGGGATATCAGAGGAAAGGCTGCTCCCACTGTGGGAGATAAGGAGGTGCAGCCCCAGCACACGTGAACTTCAGCTCCTGCTCAAGTGGGGCTCTGGTGCTGCCAAAGCACCCACACCTGGCTTGTCTTTCTCCTCTGTCTCCAGCAAAGCCTGGCAAAGACCTTGTGTTATCATCACTGAGACAAAGCAAAGCCAAAAGGTCCAAGAGCAGACCTCAGGCTCCCTCCTCAGAGTAAAAATGAGAAATGGCTTCTTCCTTCCATACTGTGCTGCTGCTGAATTGCACAACCCAACACACCTGCTCTCCTTCAGCTGTCCCTGGGGAAAGCCTCTTCTCCCTGTGCTACATCCTCAGTGCTGTGGCTGTCATCCTGCTCAATACAGGCTCCTTTCTCAGCTGGGACCCCACTTCTCTATCATCTCTCTATACCTAAGACCTCCACACAGTTGCTCAGCACCAGAACCCCATCACTGTGTCAGGAGTTCCTCCTGCTACATCAATCAGTCTGGACTTAAAGCCACAACTTCCCTTTGGGGGAAAAGCATTCTCCTAGCAAAGTTTGTCTCTCTACCCAGTTCCCAAAGGGGCTTCTCTGCCTGTGGGGAAGGCACAACAGAACTGAGAACAGTGATTTTAAAGAGACCAAAAATGGAACAAAAAAGAGGTTCCTTCAGTTCTCCTAAGGAAGCATTACGGCACACAACATGAGGAAGGAGCTAAGGTGAACTGCATCTCCATTTGATCAGAAAAAGACATTCATCTTCTTTTTATTGCAGTCTCTGCCTTATTAGGCAAGCAAGTTGGCTTTGTTGACAATTTTCTCTTCTCTAGAGAGGGAACTAGGAAGGGAAAAAAGAGAGAGACATAGGTAGGAATGAAGCACAAGGGTGGCACATGCTGGGCAACACAGGACCATGGAACCCTGATGGAGTTAAGGGCAATGAAAACCCTCCTGCTTTAGAACAGCTGGCCAGAAGGGCCACACTTCTTTGTGCCAACGCCTTCCTCTTTATCCTGCTCGGAACATGAGTCAGTCTTTCCACTGCAAGGCTAAGAGAGCAAGTTCATTATGATTTTCACCCTCTGCCCACTACGACCCAGGCTCTGGGCACCCTGTCAAGCCATCTGCTAAGGAAGGGTGGTGGTAAGGGTGGAGACAAGAATCTGCCTCCTCAGTGAGCTGAACAACCCAATACAACAGCAGGCAAGGTCCTCACTGCCCATGCCTGAGCAGACACCAGCCCAACCAGCTGCAACTAGCACACTCCTGAGCCTCTTCTCCTCTCCATGGTCTTGTCTGCATGGCCCAGGCTGCAGATGTGGGCTGCACACACTCTGGATTGCACCGTGGTCCCCAAACAGCCTCTTGGCCCCAGGAAGAATTGGCCCGTGGCTTGTTTCTTCAAGAGCCCCCTCACACCCTAAGGGCAGACAGATGGACCCCGTGCCTTGACAGGCTTTGTTTGTGCACAACAATCAGAATTTTGCCCTTCCTCTACTCCCTTTTATTACCCTGTGGTAAGAAGGAGTAACCAGCACGTGTAAGCAGCAGCCCTGCAACAGGCACAGCCTGTGGGGCTCTAGAGTCCCAGAGAGTCATGCAACAGTCCCACAATTGGCTATGCAGAGCCAATGCTATCCCTGGTCCTCTTCTATGAATTGTCCAAGAAATCAGCCATGCCAACACTGAGATCAGTTTCTGGATCCCACCATTTTCTGCAAGCACACACAGCCAAGCCCCACTATGTCCTCCTCCCCCCCAGTACTGGTAATAAACACCCAGGTGCACACCAAACCCATGCATGTGAGCACTCATGCACACAGGCAACCATGCACTTGCAAACATCCACTCCCACCATCTGACTGAGTCCCCCATAGCTTATCCCAGCCCCAACAGAAGCCTGTACTGCAGGGAAGACACTCTGGCTTCTGTAGGACAAGTCCATGCAGTGTTGTCGGGGCAGGGGGAAAAATGAGCAGAAAAAACCCTCAAACCCAGCTTTCTCCTCTGCTTCCTAGCTATCTGCTCCAGGATTGGTAGAGTACTGGGGCAAGATCCAGCCCAGGACAGAATGTATTAAGCCTGTGCAAGGGGCTGCATCTTTAGAAGGACACCTTGGAAGCAAAGGACTTCCCTTCTCCAAAATACCCTTTGAATATAGCAGTATTTAAAAAAAAAAAAGCATACTGAGATGCTTTTGCACATTCACTCATCCAAAAAATGCCAGTGACATACATCTGCACACGCAACCACTCACAAGAGTTTGTGCCTGCTGACTCACACGCTCAATAAACAGCCCAGGCTTGCATCTATGCTTGCTCCAATCCACAAAGGATGAGGGTGGATGGGAACAGCTGCCCTGTCTCCCCATGGGATCCTCTCAGCCTCCCCCAGAGGAAAATCTGCCAGCTGGCTGCAGAGATTCTCTCCAGCCAGCAGGAGAGGCTCAGAAGATGCAAGGAAGTCTTTATGCTACTACAGAGCGGGTTCTCAACATCTCTCTTCCTCCTGTCCAGGTCTCCCTTCATGTGACTGAGGAATTTGGGTTCCCAGGGTGATGCCTGGGATGAAGGGAAGAAGAACAGGAAGTGAAGGAGGGCAGAGAGCCCACATAAAAAGCACACCCTGCCCATAAACAAAGGAAACAAAAGAAGGAACAGACGAAAACACCCGACTCTTTCCCTTTGTTGTGAAGTTCTGATTTCCCACCCAGTGGCCTCACCCAGCACCCTCCACCTTTCGGTAGGGGTTCTCCAACAAGTAGCGGAACCGCTGGTAGTTCTTGAGCAGGTACTTGGGAGCATACATCTGCTCCTTGGGGTCAGCAGGGGGATACTCCTGCATTGTACCATCAAACCAGCCACCAGTCCGGATCAGCTCCCGGATATAATTGAGGTCTCGTTTATCCTCATAGTCACCCCAGCGGGGAAAGTCCCCGTTCTGGGCTGACACCAGTTTGAAGTAGATCCCCTCTGGGGTGAAACACCAGGAGCAATGCCAGCCAGCAAAGTGGAGGGGGCTGCCCAGCGACCACTGCACCAGGATGTGTCCCGTGCTGTTCTCGTACTGCCGAAACCCAGGCATGGTGTAGTAGTCGCGGCGTCGCAAACGTATCCCGTCGGTAGCATAGACAGCCTGGAGCATGCCCATGGTGCAGCCCGAGACCACCTCCAAGGTGCCCGGTTGCTTCCAGAAGAAGCCGTAGAGCGACTTGCGCATGTGAAAGGCGAAGGGCTCCGTCCAGCCGTCGTAGAGCTTGAGGAAGAGCACGCCATCGCGGGCCGGGATCTCATCAGCATCATCGATGATGAAGACGTCGTCCGGGCGCAGGTTGCGGAGGCGGGAGATGCCGTCCCGGGTGAGGAAGGTACGTAGGTAATCGTCAGCAATCCAGCCGTCCTGGCGGCCACCGGGCGGGAAGTGGTCCAGGAAAACGTAGAGCACCTTGTGGCGGATGTAGTCAAAGGAGCCGTTGAGGAGCATCTCGCGGAACTTGAGGGGCCGCGGCTCTCCGTAGGCCGTGAAGTTGGACTCGCACACCACGAAAGCATCCACCACGTCTCCCAGCTCATGGAAGCGGACATCTAGCAGGTCGAACTCGTGGTTGACGTTGATGGCATTGATCACCCGCCGGGGGATCTCCCGCGGCACGAGGCGGTCCTTGGTGGGCAGGTTGGAATACTGGACCACGGTGGGGACGCCACAGCTGGGGCCGTGCCAGCCCGGCAGACACACACATTCCACCCACTTGCGCCGCTTGGCTCCGCCGGCGCTCAGCGGCTTCCGAGCCGGCCGCCCCGAGGCCGCGCCATCCGCTCGCTCCTCCTGCCGGCCGCCCGCGGGTGGCTTCTCCAACACCTTGGTGCCTGGTTTAAAGCAAATGCCACCGGCTTTGGTACGGACAAAGTATTCCGTTGAATCTTCTGGCAGCACGAACTCAACCTTGTGCAGCTCTTCACTGGCTCTGCTGGGAGACAGGGGCTGGAGCAAGGGGGAGTGGGAGTACAGGGGTGTGCGGAGGAACTCTGCACCCCCTGGCTCAGGGCTGACCTGAGGTGTGACAGGGGCATTGTTCCAGAAGAAGCTGGAGACGAGGTTGGGACTAAGTGAAGCCAGCTCCCTGGGGAAGGTGACATAGGAAAGGGCCTTGAGGAAGTGCAAGAAGGAGATGAGGCAGAGACCAGCCATGCAGAGAGTCAGAAAGAGTTTATGGCGTCTCATCTTCATCCTGTGGAAGAGCCACGAAAAGGAAAGTCACATTCAATAGTTACTGAGGTGCAGAAAGTTTACCACTGTTAGAAAAACAGGTTGGGGAAGGGAGAAATGCTGGTCCAAATTCAGCATGCATCTTTAGAGACTTGACTCCAGGAATTACACCCCCACCCCCTGCCATCTTCACATTGGGCCTCTTGCTTCAGCTGGGCTACACCAAACTGAACCTTTGCTAGATTAGTCTCATAAATCCACAGAGACAAGAAAGGCACTGGCAATGGGTTAGAAAGACAGGAAATCCAGAATAACAGGAATTCATGATCTAGTGAACTCACCATGCATGGAAGATTTGCCCCTGCTCACTGATGGAAATTAAATTAATGTAAACCTCCTCAGAGGTGCATCACCAGGGGGTTGGGAGAAAATGAAAAGCCCAGGAAGGGTGAGAGAGTTGGGGGGACATGGTTGAAACATGACCAGTGCAAGAGAGGCAGTTTTAAAAGACCGAGATCATTAGTCAGACTGCCAGAGGCAGCCTACGCTCCCCAGATCTTTACAATGTTTGTACAACACACACCCTAAAAAACCACCCTTGTTCTCAGGAAATACTACCCAAGTTCACATGGAGGACAGGAAAACAAAAATAAAATTAAGATCCTGTCACATTTACTCTTCTCCCACCTGTGATTCTCAAGTCCACTGTATCTCCATATGTTTCATTTTGCTTTTCACTTTCTGTGGACCAGATGCTGAGGTTTTTCTACATCTGGATCAAGGTGACAAAAATAAATGCCTAGCTGTCTCTGCCAGTAATACTGTGCCATCATGATGGATCCACGTCAGGCCAGGAAGAAGCCAGCGGTGCAGAGCCCTTCCCTCCAAACAACATGAAGCATTGCCTTCATTCTTCCCTCCACACCTCCCCTCCTCCAGCCCAGGAAGGGAACATAGAGCTGCTGTCAGGCAGAGAAGTGATTGAAGACTACAATTCAGAAAAAGGACTAAAAAAGCAGAGGCTGTCCTGGAGCATGACACCCTTCCTGCAGTGACAAAGAGGCAGAGATCCCCACACATGTGACACGTACCACCTCACCCCCTCCACATGGGGGTGGAGGGAGCTTCCACATGGGGAATGGAGAAGCTCCATTCTGGTGCTTCTCTCCTTGGTGCAGTATCCCTTCCATGGCCAAAGTTCCTGAGAGGCTCAGGACCTTTTATAAAGGTTCCACCTGGCACACAGTGGTGCCAGCAACACCTTCACTGGAGGCAGTCCCTGCTCCCGGGGGTCATGGGGCAGCTGCCCCACACATGGGCAGGTGTGGGGGCAGAAGAAGAAGAACCCAACCAGCTCCTGCCACTTCAGAGAGTATTAGGTAAAATACAGCAAAGTGTGTTACTGAGTAACTTGAGGAGACTCTAATACTGAAGTGAAAAGCCATAAAGCATTTAGACGGATGGCAACTGCCCAAAGGAAAACGTATCTGGCTTTCCACAGATGGCTCTCACACGGACTTTGGTAGAGGGGCTGTCCACAGTTGTACCTTACAGCTCAGCAAAGTGTTTCTGTTCACTTGGCAGTCACATTTTTAGTGGAAGTCACCATCCACTGCCATGGTCCCCAGTGCTTAGGTGGCAGGGCAAGGAGTCCCAGATTAAGCTCTGACTGAAGGACTGCAAGCCTGAAGCTGGTGGAAAAGTTACACCATGGCCTTGGGAGGGGAAAAAATTGAAAGAAAAATAAACAAGGAAAAAGGAAAGAGAGCTTGATTCTATTGGTTAATGTTTAGTAGGGGTTTTGATATACTTTGCCACAACACAAGTCAGCAGCAGGGCAGGGTGCTGGCTCTGGACATCACCTTTGTAGTGGCCCAGCCATTAAGGGGCTGGATATTTTTGTTAAAAGCCATAAAAGATAATCTTGGGGCTTGCTGTCAAGCTTTCTTCATGTAGGCAAAACAAGGGGCTGCAGAAAACACCATGAGCATCTCTTTCTATCCATGATTGATTCTTTCCTTGAGACTCTGTTCATGTCTTGCAGAAGCAGCAAGACCACTTGTAAAATAGAGGAATATTCAGTGCCTTTTCCTTACGCATCACCAGTTTTCAGTCTGTCTTGAAGTGTGGGGAAGAGGAGGGCACAAGGAAGCCAAACTCCCACTAAATTAGCAGTGACTGGGTGTATGGAATATTAATCCCAATATTTCCGGGTGGGACGTGCCTGGCCTCGTCTGACCCTTGCTGCTGGGCCAAAGGCGGCAGCTGTGGTGTTTTCACCTCAGAGACACCTTTGGCTGGCTGGGTGCTGCAGCTGGGCACTCGGAACAAATCCAGGCATAGTGGAAACTCAGTTTACCTTTGGTGGAAAAGGTTCAGGTGATGGTGAAGAGAAAAAGGAGAGGATTCTGCCATGGAGTTTTAATCCAGAGTTTTATTCCAGGATGACAGACCTCTGAATCTTGTAACAGCTCCCAACAGAATCCCGACCGCATGGTCCCATCTCCTTTTAAGCTCGGGGACAGGGGGAGGGGAAGGGACAAGTGAGGCACCAACCAGGTGTGAGGAGGGGAAGGCTCAAGGGACAAAGACACTGGGACAGGCCAATGAGCCCGAACCTGAGGGGCATCTTTTGAACTTCTGCCAACCACACCATAACCCTGCTGGAATGTTAAGATTGATGGACAGCTCTCAGCAGGAGGGCAAAGAGGGAGGGGAAAGGAGAGGCTGGCACACCTGGGGGGTTGGGATAGGTGAAACAGGAAAGGGCGTCACACTGCAACATGGGTGTCAGTAGAAAGTGTCCCTAACTGGTAAATGAGTACAGCTCTCTCTTGCCAGGTGTCCTGTGACTTCTCCAAGGCATTACTTCCAGACATCAGGCTGCTCTCTCAGACACTGAAACCAGGGCAAAATGAACAGCTGGCCTGCTCCAACACAGCAATCCCAATGACTGCCAGGTAATGCTCATTTTGCTCCAGTTCCTACAGGACACACAAATGCAGGGCAGCCAGCTTCCCCTGGGCCAGCCCAGGGCTGAAGGCAAGTGCTGAAGAAATCACACAAGGCACATCACCTTCTCAGATGGCTGTGATGATGCTCTGCATGCCACAGTAAATTCCCAGACAAAAAGCCATAACTCTTGACATTCAACAAACTGCTCTGCTTTCTGAGATGTAGCACGCCGTGTCAACATAGCAGGACGCATGGCTTTAGGAAGCAAAGCAGATTTTCCTCCCTTGCCATTAGCATACATCAGTATCTGTCAGGCTCAGCATGTGGCTCTGCAGCTCTTCAGCCACAGGCACAAGGGGCTCTGGGCAGGGCTGCCTGGGCTCTTGTGCCAGGCTGGGGTGCACAGCCCTCCCTGGCTGCTCTGCCAGGCCAGCTGGCCCTGCAGTACCCTCTGCTGTTCCTGCTGACACTGCCCAGGAGGCAATTTTCACTGCTCAGTTGGTTTTGTTAGGGAGTGGGAACACAAACTCATTTCCCTCATTTCCTAACCCCTCCTAAAAGAGGGGAGGGAAGCAAAGAAGCAAGGTGTGTCCTTTTCAAAATCTCTTCCCTGGGAACAACCTTCATTCTCACATGCCAGGGATTCTTCTGCCAGGGAGTGGAGAACACTCATGCACCCTTGGGTGAGCCAAGACTAAATACCATCAATCATCTATCCCTTCCCATATCCTCTGATCAGCCCTGCAGTGAAAGGCATGTCTGGTGGCAGCTAGTTGGAGACAAAGGCCAGCAAGGGAGGATTCCCCACCCTCCCCATCCAAAATATTTACATGCGGTGGAAATGAGAAGGGAGGTACCAGTCAGGGAGATATCTCAGTGTGTCACAGAAGAGCCCAGCTGCTCCAACACAAAGCAACCATCAGTGACCAGGAACACAGAAAACAGCAAGAAGAGGTATTTCCCTTCTGACAATTTTGACTGAGGAAGGGGGGAAAAGTCAACTTGATCTCTGGGAGAGTGATCAAGTTGCTGTCAGCAGCAAGAAAAGCTTTGATGTTTGAGTAGAAGAAAAAGCCTGAAGTAGTATGGACAGTCAGCTCCATTAAGACAAAGCTCTTTAGGGAGTGCACAGTTATAGACTGCTTCAGCAACACACAGTCCTGGAGAGACAAGCTGAAAGCTTCTTTTTGTTGGGGTTTGATATTTCCTTGCTTGAAGTTCTTTCTCTACCACGCAGGGGAAGTGCTTTCAAAAAAGGAAAAAAGCCAGAAGTGTTATGCACATGAGTTATCCCCAGGCACCTGTTGCCATTTCAGTGACCAGTTGATTTATACCATCCTGAAAGAACATACTTATTTTTCAAGAATCCAGAGAGAAAGATATGCACCAATAAGAGCTGGCAGTTCACCAGCCCCAATGTTCTCTTCTGGAGAACACTGGCAAGAGGCCACACAACAGGCTGCTGGATACAGGCTTGTTACCCCATCTTGTTAGGGCATGGGACTCGAGACTCCTTAGACCTCTCCCCTGGTTACAGGGAAAATGAAGCTGTGGAGAACAAGTCAGAGCAGAAGCTTCTGGTTTTCCCCTGATACCATAATGCTTGTTTCCTCTGCCTAAAGTTATCCCATAACACCCATGCAGTAACATATTTGCAGATCACTCAGACACTTCAACACAAAGCAGCAATTCAAATTAGAATCACTTTCACATGGCAGATTAGAAACCCAGTATGACTTCCACCCCCCACTCCACACAGAGGGCCCAACTCTCTCTGCTCCAGCTAGAGACAAATGGAACAGGCTCCACATTTCTGGAGTACTAGGTCTACCTGCCATCCTCAAGCACAGGAACCAAGCATCATCAGAGCCAGAGTACCTCTAAACACTCTAAAAATCTCAAGTTACTTTTGTCCTGCAAACATCCACAGAAGGAGAAACCATAAAACTTAGTATTTGTCAACAACTCACGCAAGTTCAGGCACAGCAGGACTGCACTTTGCTTAAGGGTAGGAAAAGAAGATTATCCTACATTGCAGGAAAATCTGAGAGAAGCAGGATGTACCAG